CATCCATTAGCAATCAAGAAAATGCCTCCTAGACATGGCTACAGGCCAACCTAAGGAAGGCAATACCTTAAGTGAGGCTCCCTTTCGCAAGGCGTATCATATTGACAAGCAAGATTAGCTGTCACTCATGCCTACTTGATGTTTCCACAACCGTGGAGCCCTGGTTGGCCTGATATTCACTGCATAGACCAGGCTGGCCTGGGACTCACAGAGATCCACCTGTCTCTGCCTCCCGAGTGCTGGGATTAAAGGCGTGCGCCACCTCTAGTTATAGCAGTTGAGCCGGCCAGCATGAATGTGGGAACCGGAGTCCTCCGGAAGAGCGAGAGGCACTCGTTACCCCCTCGCCATCTCTCCAGTCCCTGGCTTCCTAGATTGTTCAAAAATACTTAGGTTCTTGCTACTATTTGGCCTTTTCTTCCTCCTGGATCTGTTTCTCCTCCACCTCCTCTGTTTACTGTGGCCTCGCCCTAGTTTTGAGACTCTGAGCAATCCACTCATGGAGTCTTACGGGGCTAAGGGGCACTTTCTGGCTGGAGCCATGGCTCAGCTTGGGGGGGGGTGTCACTTGCAACCAAGCCTGATGACCTGGGTTCAATCCCCAGGCCCCATGTGGTGGAAGGGAAGGATCAACTCTGGCAAATTAACTATCAGAAGAAAATTTTTTTTCCAAATTCTGACAGACAAAAGCCAGCGCTCCCTTGGGGACTTGGGAAGCTGATTCCCACTTGCTAATAGGAATCATTCTCCCTGCCTTGTGGAAAAGGGACACATGACTATCAACACATCTGATCCAGGCTAGCCTCCAAGTCCCCCACCCCAACTAATAGGCTCCCTTTCTCCCAGGTTCTCACTCCCTTAGAACCCAGAAGAACCCCCCTTTCACTTCTCCCAACTTCCCCTGGGGCAGACGACCTTGGCAGTTTGGAATAAATTTTTTCCTTTTCACTCAGGAAGCAGGTATTTCTGTATCCGTTACTTTACTGTGCCCTTCACACTCATTGTCTTCTGACCTCCAGCTGTTCACCGTATCCACACTCAAATCGCACACACATATAATAAATAAAATGCAACATAGATTTAATTGATTTTTTTTTCAAAGAAGCACTTTCCCCCTCCCCAGCAGGATGGACACTTCAGGGGGATTCCCATAGGGCTGGCAACAGACTTATAAAGAAGTCCCAAGGAGGTGGCACACGCCTTTAATCCCAGCACTTGGGAGACAGAGGCAGGCTGATCTCTGTGAGTTCGAGGCCAGCCTGGTCTACAGAGCGAGTTTCAGGACAGGCACCAAAGTTACGGAGAGACCTTGTCTCAAACCCTGCCTCTCCCCCAAAAAAAGGCCTTATTGGGTTGGATGGACCTGTGATTAGCTCAACCAGAAAAACACAGGGTAGTACTGACCCCTCGGTCTCCTGACCCCTCTCACAGAATGGGAAGAGCAGAGCTTTGAGTGAGAGCCTGGACAAAGGCTGCCATCAGTGGCAGACACCTCACCAAGCCCAAACTCTCTCTTGCTAGCTTAGAGAGAAAGTCTGTCACGGCTCAGGAGTCAAAAGAGACAGAGATTCATAAGAAGAAATGGGAGAGAGAGAGAAAAAAAGACATTTGTTACCTCAGACGGCTTTAGGCTTCATAGTGACGTTATTTTAATTAAGATGTATTTGAGAGAAATTCAAAAAAAAAAAAAAACCCTGGCTTTCCGTTTCCTTCCACAGAAAAGAGTCAGCATTGCCAAGCTTGGTTTGATTTCTCCATTTGTGTGCTGACGGGTATGCACCCACCCTCTGATTGCTCCCGCTCCTGCTTGGCCAAGCCCACCTAGACCTAAGCATCAGCTGAAGAGGCAATGGCAGCCTCTCTCTGCGGTATCACCAGTGAAAGGGCATCTAAGGAAGAAATGGTGGAAATCGCTCATGTAGAATAAAACAATTGGAACTGGAAAAGCGGGCATCGCGGTGTCTCAGGCACTTCCCTCAAGAGTTTCATGACTGGGCTTCTAGAGCCCACAAGGTGGAGGGAGAGAACAGACGCCTGAGGGTTGTACCAAGGCATGCATAGGTGTAGGTGCCTGTACACACACACACACACACACACACACACGTATGAAAGTATGTACACAAGAACATACACATGCACACTATAATACACACACTACATATACTTATAATCACACATGACATACACATTCATGAATACTAACACACCATATACACACACTATACACAAACACTTTATTTATACATACATAAAGTCATACACACTCAGGAACACTCAAGCACTTCATTCATACACATTACAAATCCCCCCCCCACACACACACACGACATACACACTATAAACACACAGTCAAGTACACACAGTGCATACATACATTGAAAAGAAGTTTTAGGGGACTGGAAAGATGATTCAGTGGTTAATAGCACTGACTGCTCTTCCAGAGGACCAGGGTCCAATTCCCAGCACCCACGGGGCAGCTCACAACTGTCTGAAAATCCAGTTCCAGGGGACCTGACACCCTCATATAGATATACATGAAGGCAAAATGCCAATGCACATAAAATAAAAATAAATTATTAAAAAAGAAAAGCAGTTGTAGAATATATCAAATTTGGAAACAGATGCTAAAGAACAGCAAAAAAAATTAATAAAAATGTAAAGGTTGGTGTCAGCTCCCCCGAGAAACTGACTTTTCCGTCTCTTCTTTCACTTCAGTGAGCTCAAAAACTGTGTGCGGCTTGCCAGAAAGAAAGACAAAGAGCCAGAGACCCAGTGACAGAGCAGCCTTTGTGTGGGAAAGGACTAGAAGAAAAACTTATGTTTGCTTACAGGAGAGGGGTAGTGGGGGAACTTTTCCCTTTGGCCGGGAGGACAGTTTCCGAGACGGGTTTCTTAGTGTAGCCCTGGCTGTCCCGGAACTAGCTAAGTAGATCAGGTTGGGCTGCCTGTCTCTGCCACAGCAATGGGGAGACCCGGAGGAAGGGGAACCCCATTGTCATGACAGCATGGTCAAAGGAGGAACACAGGGGCCACAGAATCTCAGTGTGGAAATACCACAGAAGGACTCAAAAAAAATCCAGAGATTTCCAGGAGGCTTGCCCTCAGATTCCATTCAGAAATCAACACAGAGCAGGCTTTGTGCGCATCCCCCCCCCCCCGTCATTCCGTCATTCCTGCACTGCGGGGAGGGGGCTGTAGGGTTGCCACCCCTTTGGGAGTCGCATATCAGATATTTACATTGCAGTTCATAACAGTAGCAAAATTACAGTTATGAAGTACCAACGAAAATAATTTTGTGGTTAGGGATCACCACAACATGAGGAACTGTGTTAAAGGGGTCTCAGCATTAGGAAGGTTGGGAATCACTGGCCTAGAATTCAGTTTGAGGCCAACATGCCCGACATGAGAGACCCTATTTCTTTCAGACACAGGGTTTCACTAAGTAGTCCTGCCTGGCCTGGAATTCTCTATGTGGACCAAGCCTCTGCCTCCAGAGCTCTGGAATTTTAGAGGCTTTTTGTCCCTCCTATTAAATTAAATTTATTTATATTNTTCAGTGGTTAATAGCACTGACTGCTCTTCCAGAGGACCAGGGTCCAATTCCCAGCACCCACGGGGCAGCTCACAACTGTCTGAAAATCCAGTTCCAGGGGACCTGACACCCTCATATAGATATACATGAAGGCAAAATGCCAATGCACATAAAATAAAAATAAATTATTAAAAAAGAAAAGCAGTTGTAGAATATATCAAATTTGGAAACAGATGCTAAAGAACAGCAAAAAAAATTAATAAAAATGTAAAGGTTGGTGTCAGCTCCCCCGAGAAACTGACTTTTCCGTCTCTTCTTTCACTTCAGTGAGCTCAAAAACTGTGTGCGGCTTGCCAGAAAGAAAGACAAAGAGCCAGAGACCCAGTGACAGAGCAGCCTTTGTGTGGGAAAGGACTAGAAGAAAAACTTATGTTTGCTTACAGGAGAGGGGTAGTGGGGGAACTTTTCCCTTTGGCCGGGAGGACAGTTTCCGAGACGGGTTTCTTAGTGTAGCCCTGGCTGTCCCGGAACTAGCTAAGTAGATCAGGTTGGGCTGCCTGTCTCTGCCACAGCAATGGGGAGACCCGGAGGAAGGGGAACCCCATTGTCATGACAGCATGGTCAAAGGAGGAACACAGGGGCCACAGAATCTCAGTGTGGAAATACCACAGAAGGACTCAAAAAAAATCCAGAGATTTCCAGGAGGCTTGCCCTCAGATTCCATTCAGAAATCAACACAGAGCAGGCTTTGTGCGCATCCCCCCCCCCCCGTCATTCCGTCATTCCTGCACTGCGGGGAGGGGGCTGTAGGGTTGCCACCCCTTTGGGAGTCGCATATCAGATATTTACATTGCAGTTCATAACAGTAGCAAAATTACAGTTATGAAGTACCAACGAAAATAATTTTGTGGTTAGGGATCACCACAACATGAGGAACTGTGTTAAAGGGGTCTCAGCATTAGGAAGGTTGGGAATCACTGGCCTAGAATTCAGTTTGAGGCCAACATGCCCGACATGAGAGACCCTATTTCATTAAAAAAATTAGGATGATCTCGTATGGCCCAGTTTGGTCTCAAACTCGCTACGTAGTTTAAAATGACTTGAATTTCTGATCCTCCTGCTGGCGGCCGCAAAGCGCTGAGATAACGGGTTTACAAAGAACACTAGGTGTCTGAGTCAGGTCCTGAGGTTTATTCCACAGCAGGCTCCCGGCCCGGGTTTCCTTTTGCTCCCCCGCCCGGACACCCCCCCCCACTGTCCCCCTTTTTTTTAATTTAATTGTTGGTTGAGACAAGGTCTCTCGTTAGCTCGGACCCACCTAATGTAGCCCGGGCTGGGCCTCAGACTCACAGCGATCCTAGCCGCTTTCTTCGGACTGCTGGAATTTTAGACCTGCCCGCCCCCGCACGCCCACGCGGGGCGGGTTTACTGCGCCTGCGCAGAAGTTTTTCCAGCCAGACTCCCTTTCATTCTTTCATTCTTCAGCCGGCACCCACTTCTGACGGACGTACTCTGCTTCAGCGCAGCTAGGTGGGATCCCGGAGTCTAGACATTCGCCGTCCGTGTAGACCAAGGAGGAGCTGAATCGGCTCCCGAACTCCATGAATCAACACACCCCTCTCGCCTGGTCGCCACGGCTGCTGCTACCGGGCCTGCTGCTGCTGCTCCTGCCGGACTGCGCGAAAGCCGGTGAGTAACCCCGGGCCTGCTCGCTCCCGGTCCCGTGTGCACCTGCCCCCCCCCAAGCCATCTGATCCCTTCTTCGCCGCCCAAAGTTTAAGGTCTGGATTCCAGGGCACAGATTCCAGAAAGATTGGGCGTGATGGCTTACACCGGCACCGGCCACCCTAGGACCGGGGAGGATGAAGCAGGAGGATTGCCCAGAGTTCCAAGCTAGCCTAAGGTCCAGCATAAGGCCCCCCTCCCAGATCTCCCTTCCCACCCCCAACACAAGCTCTGACTCACCCATCCGAACAACCTTCACTTGCGGCCACACCCTATTCCTGAGGAACGTGTGGAGTTTAGTCACCCCGCAGCCCGCGACTTTCATTCAATTTTTTAGTTGTGTTGGAGACTGAAACCAGCCCCTCACTCTAAGATTAAATTTAATTGTGAAGGGCTCTACCCCTCAAGACGTCCGGGTGCTGTGGTTAGAACCTTAGTCCCCACACATAGCAAACTGGAGCTCAGCTCTGGAACTGCTCCATTCTTTCGGAGGGTGGAGGGTGACCGGGCAGTTCGCCACTGCCCGGAGTGAGGCAACTCACCCAGAGGGCAGCAACTCGGAGATATTAGTCAGGAGGCGGTGGTTCATGCGCTTAATCCCAGCATAGCCAGGGCTACTTTGAAACCATGTGCGGAAAAGAGAAAGAAAAGGAGAAGGAAGAATAGAAAGACTTCTATATAGGTCCACCTCTGTTTTGTTTTTGTGTTTTCGAGACAAGGTTTCTTTTTGTAGCCCTAGCTGTCCTGGAGCTCACTCTGTAGACAAGGCTGGGCTCGTATTCACAGAGATCCATTTCCTTCTGCCTCCTGCGCGCTGGGATTAAAGGTGTTCGCTACCACCATCCGTCAAGGTGCACTGCTTAAGGGTTTAAACCTTGGCACGGGTGGACCGTTGGTGGTCGTTTACATCTATATTAGAGAGTCCATTTTCAGATGCAGAAACTGATGCCACAAGAGCAACCCTGTGCAGAGGAGCCCACTGCTCGTCATGGCAGTGCTTGAATTCCCAGAATTTAACTCTGAAGTCATTATCCTTGTCACCCAGAGTGCCCGATACTGTTTTCAACTAATGTTGAGAGCCAACTGTGTTTTGCGCTAACGATAGAGTCTCAGAGAGCCTACTGGAATGACTATGAAGCCACCTTGTCATCTTATGCCTATGTGGTACCCTAGCAAAACCTTCTGTGCCTCCATTTCCCCGTTCATAAGTGGCACCTCTAGCCCAGGGTAGTGATGTACACTTTTAATCCCAGCATTTAGGAGGCCGAGGTAGAGGTGAGCAGCTCTCTGAGTTCCAGGCCAGCCTGGTCTATATACTGAGACACTCTCTCAAATAATAATAATTATTATTATAAATAAGAATGTAAACTAGGTAGCTGGAGAGATGACTCGGCTGTTAAAAGCACTAGCTGGTCTTGCAGAGGACCTGGGTTCCTTTCTCAGCTCTCACATGGAAACACACAACCCTCTGTAACACAAGTTTGGGGATGGAAGTCTGCTGCCCCCTTCTGGCCTCCATGGGCACTGCACACATGTGGTGCACATGCATACATGCTAGCAAATTAACATACAGATAAACCTTTAAATGAATTGAACTAATAAGGCCTTGGTTTCACAGCTTCCGGTGTAGCCGTGCAGGTGCTCACTAATGTGACTGGCATCTTGAATGAGTCTACCACCTTGGTATGTAATCTGATGTCTACTGAGAATGTGACAGTCACCCAAGTAACCTGGAGGAAGAAGAACCCAGATGGCTCCCGCCCTACCGTGGCTGTCTTCCACCCCACCAAGGGACCCAGCATCCCAGAATCAGAAAGGGTGACGTTCTGTGCCCCCAAGCTGGACGGGCATCCTTGGAATGCATCTCTGGCGATTTCCCACGTACGAGTCGAAGATGAAGGCAGCTATGAATGTCAATTTGCCACATTCCCCACAGGCAGCAAGAGCAACAGTGTCCAACTGCGGGTGCTTGGTAAGTGTTAGGATGAGGAGAAGAAACCCTGGGGCCAGAGGATCAGGGAGCTAGCAAAAAGCAGCAAGGAGGCTTGGGTTACACCCTTGGGACGTGGTGTGTCCTCTAAGTCAAAAGATCCTCCAGGCAGGATCCAGGTAGCCCACGCTAGCCTGTAGGTAAGGATGACCTTGACCTCCTGACCTTCCAGTCTCTGCTCCAGTCTCTGCTCCAGTCTCTGCTTCCAGTCTCTGCTGGGATTAAAGGTGGGGCCACCACCACCCAGGGGAGCATTTCTTTTTAATGTATTTAAATGTACCAGGCTTCATCTTTTTGGGCCACCAACCAGCTCCCAAATCGTGACACAGGACCCTATTAGTGTTGAGTGCTCAGTCTGGCTCAGGCTAGTTTCTGGCTAGCTCTTTTAATTTAAATTAGCCTGTTTCTCCTTATCTAAGTTTTGCCTCGGGGCTTTTTACTTTTCTTTCCTTCTGTTAATCTTACTTTCTTGCTTCTCCCATCAGTCTGTTTGGCGACTGCCTGGCTTCTTGCCCCAGGTACGTCCCCCATTTTCTGCTTCTTTTCTTTCTTTTCTCCAGCCTGGATTCTCCTATTTATTCTCTGCCCACCAGCCCCCCCCCATCCTTTCTCCTGCCTAGCTGTTGGCCACTCAGCTTTGTATTAGTCAATCAGGTGCAGTAGGCAGGCGAGGTGCAACAGCACCAGATCTTCACATGAGTGAACACTCGTCCTTGCATCGTTAACCAAGTGCAGCATAAGCAATGTAACATCTTTACATAGTTAAACATTTCACAACATATATATACAATGTAGGTAGATATATATACAGTGTGTGTTATCTATCTATATGAGTGTTTGCCTTCATATGTATCTTTGCGTCACCCGTGTGCCTAATGTGGAGGAGGCCAGAAGGGGGTGTTGAATCCTTGGTGTTAGTTGTGAGTACCATGTTGGTGCTGGGAATTGAACCCCAATCCTCTGGAAGAGCAGCCCGTGCTCTCAACTGTTGAGGCATCTCTCCTGCTCCCTCCCAGAGATCATTCTGACAGCTTGACCTGTGTATTTTTTTTTTTATTGTTGTCGTTTGGTTGGTTGGCTTTTCGAGATGGGCGTTTCTCTGTGTAACAAGCTGTCTTAGTGAGACACCATGACCACAACAACCCTTATAAGGAAATATTTAATTGGGATGACTCACTCACAGGTTCAGAGGTTCAGCCCATTAGCATCATGACAGGGAGCATGGCAGCGTGCAGGCAGAGGTGGTGCTGAAGCCGAGAGTGCTTTCCAACCACAAGAGCCCTGGCTGTCCTGCACCTCGCTCTGTAGACCAGGCTGGCCTCGAACTCACAGATCCGCCTGCCCCTGCCTCCCCAGTGCTGGGATTAAAGTATGCGCCACCAGGCCAATGACCTGTATGCTCATTTTATCTCCCTTAAACAGACGCGTCTACATCTATCTGGCTCTTCAGGAGCAGGGTTGAGGTTATTTTTTTCATTATATTTTATTTATTTGTGTGCCTATGCATAAGTGTGGTGATGTACCTGAGGCTGTCAGGGAACAAGGTGCAGGAGTTGTCCTACCACGTGGGTCCTGGGAATTGAACTCGGGCTGTCGAGCTTAGCGGCAAGCACCCTTATCCACAGAACCATCTTGCCATCCCAGAGCTAGGATTTCAAATTGGCCAGCCCATACCCTGTAAATTATCCCTTCAACACCAAGCATAGTGGCAGGAACCTGTATTCCTGCCACCAAGGAGTTTGAAGCTAAAGGCTCATGAGCCCAACCAGGGCTACACAGTGAGATCTTGTCTCAAAAAAAAAAAAATCAAGGTTAAGGCACTTGCTTCCTCCTGCTACTGAGCAGCCAGTAAAATGACGTGTCTTCAATGGTTCTTGCAGCCCGACCTACAAACACTGCAGAGGCCCTGACGCCTTCTCCTACCTGGAAGCTGCAGGACTTAGCTAAGTGCATCTCCACTGGCGGTCGCCCTCCACCGCAAATTTCCTGGCACTCGAGCCTAAATGGAAGCGAAACCCGTGAAACTACGGAGCTAGGGCCCCAGCCAGGCACCATCACAGTCACCAGCTTCTTTTCCGCGATGCCCTCGAGACATGCCGATGGCAAGAACATCACCTGCAGCGTGAAGCATGAAAGCGCCCCGGAGCCGGAGCTGCTACTTGTGAACCTTTCTGTGCCTTGTGAGTATGTCTGCGCATGCGCACAAGCCCCAGGCCGCCTCCATCTCCCGGCTCTTCTCCCCGCTCTCTACGCTAGTTCATCCACCATTTGCTCCCATGCCTTAGACCACCGGCTTGGAGAGCTGGCATTGTCTGTGCTACATGGATTCGCTTACCTTTTCTAAGACACACACTGCTTACCCTTGCCCCATTGTCTATGCCGATCTGCCCGTTCACATTCCACTATCCCAACCGTGTAGACTGCCTATGTTGATTCTGCCCACAGTTTGACCCTGAGCTTCTGGTCGGTGTTCACACGGTTCTCCAGGGTAGTCTACACGGCCTGGCGCTGTCTACACTGGCTCGTCTCTGGGCCGTCTGCGTTCTCTCCACATGTAGGTAGCTGTGATTTATGGATGGATGGAGCCTCACAATCTGTGCCCACGGTCACCTCCCTTGCCTAGTCTTGTCGACATCGCCACCTGCAGACTTACCCACAGAGAGTCCAGCCAGGATCACCCACACAGAAGTAGCCTCAGGAAACCTTGACTGTTTCAGATTTTCTAATGACAGTCTTAGTTCAGCACCTTAGAAGACGCTCGGGGATCTGGCTCAGTTGGTAGACTGCTTCTCTAGTGTGCACCCAGGAAGCAGAGACCAGATGTTCAAGGTCATCCTAGGGCTTGATGGAAGTACATTCAAGTCCAGCCTGGGCTACATGAGACCCTGTAAGTCTGGTGTGATGGTGCACACGTAGAATCCCAACACTCGGGAGGCTGAGTTCAGAGCATTCAAATTTGAGTCCAGCCTGGGCTATGATACACTCACAAACAAACCCAAACTCGCTTAACGCTCGTAATGGATTTTTCCAAGAGATTAATATTTTTATTTTTTGTGTGTGTGTATGTATTTACATGTCTAAGGGAGATACACTGCACATGTGTGGAAATCAGCCCCTCACTTCTCCCCTTCCACTGTGGAAGAATTGAGGCTTGACATCAGGTCTGGTGACAGGCACCCCCTGAGCCATCTCGCTGGCCCAAGGTCATCACTTTAATGTGTGAATGATTTCTTAGACAGTCTTGGTGAGACTTTTTACATTCTTCTTGCCAGCCTAAATCTTCAGAATTGTGTGTCTTAGACCAGGCACGAAGCCCTGGGAGTCTGTGAATCTGGTGGTTACCATATTGGACTGTGGAGATTTATCTACACACATGCCCACACATGCATACACACACTATCTATCTATCTATCTATCTATCTATCTATCTATCTATCTATCTATGTACCCATCTTCCTAGCTTTACCTTAATATTGCCGCTAATATTTGGCCTTGGTTCCTAGAAACCAGCTATGAGCTATGCCCCTACTCAATAATTTACCGTCCCATATTCTGTCTCTACCAAGCCCATCAGCAGTATTAATGCAAGATCACTTTTCAGGGGATGAGATGAGTGAGATAGGATCTCCCAATATAGGCCAGGCTGCCCTCGAACTCATGATCTCCTGCCTCAGCCTCCCAAGTGCTACGATTAATACCTGGCTCCTATACAAGGTCTTGAGACATCCTACACACCTTCCTTCCCGCCATTGCCTACCCTGGGCTCTCTCTCCCAGGATTTCTCGGAGCCTTGAATGTGCTCCTGGGTGTCTGGGGTGTCCAAAAAAGTCTTTACACACAGGACACCCAGGATGAGCCAGGGGCTGTTGCGGGAAACACACTTGAAGAAAGGATCTGTGGGAAGTCCCATTCGTGTCGCCCTGACTAATGATGCCCTGGGCTAATGCTTAAAGTGCCAAGCTGTTCCTGCTCAGGGGAAAGCCCTCAGACACTGTCCAGATCTCAGCCTTCATGTCCGTTCTCTCCAGATCCACCTGAAGTGTCCATCTCTGGCTATGACGAAGAATGGCCTGAGGGTCTTACTGGTGCGGCCCTGTCCTGTGACGCTCGAAGCAAACCAGAGCCCACTGCCTATGAATGGAGCACGTGAGTGAGGGGACCTGGGGCTGGCTGTGCGGGAGGAGGGCTGGGCTCGCTCAGAGCCCACCAGCTATAGATGAAGCTCTGAGTGAGGGGACCTGGGGCTGGCTGTGCGGGAGGAGGGCTGCGCTCAGAAGCCACAGGTCTGAGAGTGGGGAGAATACAGGAGCAATAAAAATATAGTTGGGCGTGGTGGTGGCGCACACCTTCAATCCCAGCACTCGGGTGGCAGAGGCGAGTTTGAGGCCGGCCTGGTCTATGGAATGAGTTCCAGGACAGCCAGGACTACCAGGTGAGACCCTGTCTCGAAAATAAATGAACAGTGGTTGGAGAGATGGCTCAGAGGTTAAGAGCATTGGCTGCTCTCCGGGTTCAGTTCCCAGCACCCACATGGCAGCTCACAGCTCCAGTTCCAGGGGATCTGACACCCTCACACAGACATACAGACAGGTAAAAAAACCAATGAACATAAAATATAAATAAATTTTTAAAAATATCAAAACAGGTAGAATCATTCTATATTCCCAGTAAAAATTTCTTCTTGTGACTGGGATTTTCTGAGGTGAGCTGATCCAGGCCATGGCCACTAGCTCTCCTGGGATTTTTTTTATACCACACCCCTAGGGATTCCCCATCTCTGTGCAGGTTGAAGGTCACAAAGTGCTGGGACAATGGCTTAATACTGGTAAGTCCCTGGGTAAGCCCTCACGGGACAGAAGCAAAGACGTCCCCCAGACATGGGTTCCTGACTGCCCCACCCCTGAAGCCTGCCAGTCATCCCGATGCGCAGAGGAGGAAGTTAGCCCCAGAGCTGTGAAAGCTCCAGATTGGAGGCTGAGGGTGTTGGAGGTGGCTCGGTCGGTCGAGAAAGTGCTTGCTGTACACGCACGAGGACCTGAGACTGAGGCCAGCACCCACATCTCTGTTTATAACACGCTCACAGGAACATCCATGCAGGCTGCGCTCACATGAACATCCATGCAGGCTGCGCTCACAGGAACATCCATGCAGGCTGCTCTCATAGGAACATACATGCAAGAAAAGGATGACTTTCTTTTCTTCAGTGGAGGCTGGAATCCAGGGTCATACACTCTAGGAAAATACTTAACTACTGAGCCACACCCCACCGCAGCCCCTCACTGGGGGATTCTAGCAAGCTCTCTGCCACCTGCCCAAATGTATAAATAACATATTTTTATTAGACTTCTTTTTTTAAAAAAATAATTCGGCTGAACCATTCTAGAACTTTCAAACAGTTCTTTTCGAAGCAAAAACAGTGTGTGTACTCAGGTACAGCCACCCATGCCCCAAAACAGCTTCTACTGTGTTTGGTTAGTCACACACACAGACACACAGAGACACACACACAGACACACACACAGAGAAAACAAACACACCTGCCTGCTTCTGCCCCTGTCTTTTGCTCTGGTTTCCAGCAGCTGTAATTTTTCCCCAGGGGGGCAATTTCCACACATTTTCGTCCATCTTAAAAATATTTTTTTTAAAGCACTTAGTTTCACAACCCTGTTTCCTCCAACATCTTGGTAGAGAAATTTTCAAATATACAGTCACAGGAATTTTCCAAATGAGCGCTCAAAAAACCCAAAATCCAACCTCAAGGATTCTCCCACTAATATTTCACTTCTCCTAATTTGATGTTTTGGAAAATTACTACATTTATTCGTTTATTTTACTGGGAGTAGGTCCCCAGTGCCACAGTGCACATGTGGAGATCTAAGGACAACTCGCAGGAGCCGGTTCTCTCTTTCCAACATGTGTGTGCTGGGGCTTGACCTCGGGTCATCAGGCCCCATTTTTGGCTTTTTGAGACAGTTTCTATGCAGACCACAACATGGTTGGCCTTGAACTTGCTGCAGCCCTCCTGCTCCCTGTCCCCAAGGTCTGGAGCTATGGGTGTGGCCCAGAAATTGAAGGCCCTTTTGCCTCAGCCTCCTGCTTGCTAGGATTCCTGGGGTCACCACCAGACCCTGTCCATAGTTTGATGTCGTTAGAGTCTTTTCTGTATGTGTCATCAATTACTTAAGCAGTCCTTGAGGCCAGGTGTGGTGGTACACGGCACTCCACAGGCAGAGGCAAGTGGGTCTCTGAGTTCAAGGCTAGCCCAGTCTACAAAGCAAATTCTAGACCAGCCAGAACTACATGGTGGGAGTCGTTATAAAAATAAAACAAACCAGTCCGTATTGTGGGATAAGGTGGCCATTTTTATATGTTAACCATGTGGTCATGCCATGGTGGTTGGTGACCAGACCACATTAGTCGGACTCTGGGTACCAGTTTCCAGAGGAAGGAACTGACATCAAAGATTTGGCAACATTAGAACTGGGAACTTGATTGATGGGGAGAGCACCTGCCTAGAATCCCCCAGTGAGGGGCTGCGAGTTTGGCTCTTTGATTAGTGGTTATTTAGTATGGGTTCTAGCCTCACTACAAAAGAAAAAAGGGTGATGGTGGGGCACAGCGCATAGAGGTGCCTCGGTGCTTGAGTGGCTGAGGCAGGAGGATTTCCCAAACGCCACAGCTGAGGCTGTCAGACCAGATGGGTGGTTGGGTTTCGCTTCGGTAGAGGGTTCAGGACTCCACACTCCCACGCCCTCCCCTCCCTGCTGGGATGTGTTCTCTGGGCTTGGGCCGTCCTTCAACCCTATGCGGTGCCTAATGTTGGCCAAAGTCTAAGCTCTTGGCCTCACCAAGCAAGATAGAGTTATAAAGAAAGTCTGAGAAATGTCTGCTAGAGATAAAACAAGGGTGGGGGCTGGAGAGATGGCTCAGTGGTTGGGAGCATTGCCTGCTCTTCCAGGGGTCCTGAGTTCAGTTCCCAGCAACCACATGGTGGCTCACAACCATCTGTAATGAGGTCTGGTGCCCTCTTCTGGCCTGCAGATATACACACAGACAGAATATTGTATACATAGTAAATAAATAAATATTTTTAAAAAAAAAACAAGGGTGGGGATTAGGGAAAGGGGGGTCCTTCGCAGTTGAAACAGTGGGGCGAGATCACAGGGGTGGATCAGGCAGAGCTCTCTGCACCTGGAGGAAGGCATTGTGGGTAGAGAGAATGACATTTACAAATGCATTTCTGTCCATCAGCTGTTGCTTCTGGAAAGACCTAAGTGGGGTGTTGGTGCGTGGGGCAGGCGGTCCATGTGACTGTGCACAGGGAGGCGAAGGAGAGAGTGCTGAGGGCACTGGTAAAGAGGGGCGCATCACGTGGAACCTGGGGTTTGCGCTGCCCGAGGCCTGGCTCTGGGAAGTGGAATTGGGTTCGTGCGCGCCCTCTTGTGGCCATATAGGGGAACAGACACAGGCGAAGAGGAAACCAGAGCCTGGGAGCATGAAGATGCGACCAGTGCGGTCGGCCTGTATGTGGCTAGAGCTGGTCTGTGTCCCTGACACACTGTGGATGCCCCATCAGCAGAGGCTGCCTGCTCACCATCTTGTCTCCTCCAGGACTACGGGTCCTCTGCCCAACAACACTGAGGTCCAGGGCAATCGGCTCCTAATCCACAAAGTGAGCAAGACCACTATCAATAACGTGACCTTCGTCTGCAATGTCACCAATGCCCTAGGTTCCAGTCAGAACCAAGTAACCGTCCACGTTAAAGGTGAGCTGTCCTCAGACCAGGAGAGAAGGGTGCAGCAGGATGGCCCCCAGGGATGGGAGCTGAGTGTGTGCGTGTGGCTGAATGACGGCAGGTCATAGGTCACAGATTTCACCAGCCCGGGCTAGGGCGGGTGTGGGATACCTCTGACCTGAGGACTCAGAAAGCCCTCTCCAAGCGTACTGGACATAACTACCGGCTACAAAGACTGAAAGGGCGGTCGGGTCGCACAGGGATGACTCAGGGGCCAAAGGTGCCTGCTGCCAAGTCTGACCTGGGCTCAGTCCTTGGCACACTTGGTGGAAGGAGACCTGACTCCCACAGTTTTCTGCCCTGCACTTATACCCACCATGGCCGACACGTGTGCACACATATGCAACGCACACACATAAACAATCATATTTTTTAATTGGAAAAAAAATAATTGGTTGAAAACAAGGCTTCAGTTCTGGTTAGATCCAGGTGCTAGACCCACATCACCCAGGAATTCTCTTTACATCTCTCTTTTTTTAGGATTTATTTTATTTATTATGAATACTGTGTTCTGCATGGCACAAGATCAGATCTCATTACAGATGGTTGTGAGCTACCACTTGGGTGCTGGGAATCGAACTCATGACCTCTGGAAGAGCAGTCAATGTTCTTAAGCTCTGAGCCATCTCTCCAGCCCCTTCATTACATCTCTTATCTCTGACGCCAGGTGTGGGAGTGCACATCAATAATCTCAGTACTCGGAAGGCTGAAGCAGTGAGAAAGACAGTTTGGGGCCAGCCTGGGCTAATTACCTAATTGTGCCTTTTTTATGCTGGGTTAAATATCAGGCAGGGTCTTCCCAGGCTAGACAGGGAGAATGCGATGTTCCGATTGACCAGGCTAGACAGGGAGAATGCGATGTTCCGATTGACCAGGCTAGACAGGGAGACTGGGATGTCCCGATCGACCAGGCTAGTGTGAAAAAAAAAGGAAATCCCAGTTGCTTGCATAGCATGCATGAGGTCCTGGGTTCAAGCTGCAGCACCCCATCTACCTGGTTCACACCTGGTTGTGGTGCACACCTGTAATCACAGTGCATGGGAGAGCGAGTGGGAGGAGAAATGGGCACATGGGGTTATCCTTGGCCACAGAGCAAGTTTGCGGCCAGCCTATGCTACAGGAGCCCCCATCTCAAACAAACATCCCCCTGTAGGAATCGTAAAATGTGGCCAACACCTGGACACTGTAGACTGAGATAGATGGAGTTCCCCACAGAAAATGGAAGGTTTCAAAGATGCAGGGTTAACTTGAAAGCTGAGTAACTTCTCACCTGCTCGTCCACTTATTTTCCAGAGCCTATGCCATCAAGCCTAAGCACAGCCACCATCATCGGATTCATCTGCACCGGCATCTCTGCACTTCTCATTTTCATAGTTATAGGACTCTGGTGTTGTGGTGAGTCTCTTCTTCCTTGGTACATTCTCCCACCCACTTCAAGGCCACTGCAAAGGAGCCCCGGTTATGTGCAGCCCCCAGCCCCTCACTGGGGGGTTCTAGGAGGGGGATCTACCACTGAGCCACGCCTTCAACCCCTCACTGGGGGATTCTAGGCAGGGGCTCTACCACTGAGCCACACCCTCAACCCCTCACTTTTCTAAGCACTAGCTCTGGTGCCACTAAAGTCTGCACAGGAGCCTGTGTTGTGTACAGGAAGGGACGTGCTGACAATGACCGGCCTTTGCAGCCACAGAGCTGCAGAGTGGCTCATCAGTCATAGAAGGCCCTGCTTCATGACTGGCTTTCTCCCTCAGTCACGAAACAACCCTGCCGCCTTCAGTCTCACCCAGGCCAGCTTTCCTCAGTCCTTGTGATCACTGTGTGGGGTGAGTCTCTCTTCTAGTGGACTGTGAGCACAGAGGGCTTGGCAGGGACAGTCAGGGTCAAGGATAGCCTCAGGTACATAGGTCAGCCTGTGCGACAGGGAACAGAAAACAAAACATAAACAAAACAACAAGGGGAGGCTAGGAAAGAGAATGAATATATCAGGGTCCCAATAATTCCTTCAGGGTCCCACTCCAGTGACCTACCTTCCTCATGGTAGGCTCTGCCCCTACAATTCACCACCTCCTGACGCCTTGAATCTAGACCTTTAAAACATGGGCTTTTTTGGGTGGCATTCAAAAGCCATACTCTAAGATGGGTGTGGTGACACAGACCTCTGTCATCCCAGCACTTGGGAGGTAGAGGCAGGAAGATTGTGAATTCGAAGCCAGCCTGGGCTACATGGCAGAGCCCACTCCTCCAAGATAGACCTGCACTATAGCCCCTGTTTTAGTGCAACAGACGGTGCCCAACGTTGGGAACTGCGTTTACTTAAAGCCTGAGAGAGCTTGGGAAGTATTCTAAACAGAAAAGAATAAAGCATGGCTTATTGATAGCAGGACTTTCTCAGGTGGGCTCTGCTTGCTAGAGGCAAGCGCTCTCATTGCTCTCATTTAAGAGAGGCTTCCTGACTCAGTTTTAGCTGCAAAACCTTGCAGCTCTTTTAAGAGGTCCTGCCACGGAACACTTAAATGGTGTTGATGAAAAGCTGACCACATGCTTTTGGTGGTGGGGCCTCATTATGTCAGGGGTAGAAGGGGTGACTTCATCTCTCTGACTCAGTTTCCTCATCTGTAAAAAGGGTGGAATGGCACATTAGCTACAATGATTATCATCATCATGAACGCCCCAGAGAGGCCGGCTTGTCTGCGTTTTTCTCAGCTAAATCCCCGGTGTCTTCAATTCCCTTATCACAAAAGAGGTTTTTTCCTTTTAACCCCTTAAGCTATAGCTGAGGGAACTGAGACACCAAGAAGTTAAGTCACTTGGCCCAAGGTCACGCCAGCCCTAAAGAACAGAGATGGAATTTGGGCCCTAGAGTAAATAATTTTGGTTTTGAGACAGGGTCTTACTCTGTAGCCCCAGCTGACCCGGAATCCAGTACATAGGTCAGGGTACTCTGAACTCACAGAGATCCCCCTGCCTCTGTGTCCTAAGTGCTGGGGTTGAAGGTGTGCCTGGCTTTATGTTTTCTTTTGTCAGCTTGCATGGGTGTTTTCTGTCTGTGTGTCTGTCTGCGCGGCTCATTCATGCAGTTCCCACAGCCAGAAGAAGGCTCGGGTCCCATGGAGCTGACATGTGGGTGCTGTGGGTGCTGGGAGTTGAATCCAGGTCCCAGAGGAGCCAGTGTGCTTAATCACTGAGCCATCTTGTTGGCCTCTTTTGATTTGTTTTGTTGAGACTGGCTCTCATGTAAATCTAGGTTGACCTCAAATTCTTTATGTAACCTGAGATGACCCTGAATTACTGGTCTACCTCTAAAGTGTGTGCTACCTCCCTGGCTCCTCACTGTCCTGCATCAGTGCAGAGGCGGAAGAGGACTGACCATTCTCAGATCCTCTTCCACGATTCCTAGTCTAGACGACACCCTCTTCCCACGATTCCCAGAGTCCTAGACGCCTCTTCCATGATTCCCAGCCTAGATACCCTCTTTTCAGGATTCCCAGTCTAGATGCCCCCTTCCCACGATTCCCAGAATCTCTTTCTCTCTGACAAGTTCTCTCGTTTCTCCAGTTCGATCTCGGCGGTCCAGGTCCAATTCCAGGTCCAATTCCAGGCCCTCAGCAGAGGCGGCGGTGAGTACAGAGGCACAAGGGAGGAATACAGGGGTCTGGGTGGACCACGGACCTGTTTGTTTTCTGGGACTCTCTCAAGGTATCGGGAAGCCGGGGCTTTCCAGGTGCCCAGCTTATGCACCACTGGGAGGCAGTGGAGACTTCGGGGAATGGGTTCTGGTGGGAGGGGCCTGGGTTGTGCTGAGTGTGTCTCTGGAGGGGATATTGGGACCATGCTGCACTTTGTAGGCTTGGGGGTGGGGTTGAGACAGTTTCTCATGTTCTCTTGGCTGTCCTGTGACTTGCTCTGTAAACTGGGCTGGCCTCGAATTCACAGAGATCTGCCTGCCTCTGCCTCCTGAGTGCTGGGATTCTTTGGGGGAGATTTATTTATTTATTATGTACACAGCATTACGTCTGCACATATGCCTGCAGCCCAGAAGAGGACACCATATCTCATTACAGATGGTTGTGAGCAACCATGTGGTTGCTGGGAATTTAACTCAGGACCTCTAGAAGATCAGCCAGTGCTCTTAACCACTGAGCCATCTCTCCAGCCCCTGCTTTTTAGGGTTTTGAGATCAGGCCATCCTTTGAACTCACTCTCTGGTCAAGGCTGGCCTTAGCCTCTCAGCCTACCCGTCTCTATCTCTCCAATGGTGGGATTACAGGCATGTGCCCTTACATCCAGCTCACTTAATTTTTTGAGACATCTCACTGTGTAACCTAGGATAGCCTCTAACTCATGATCCTCCTGCCTCAGACTCCAGAGTGCTGAGGTCATGAGACATGCCTATCTCCTAAGCCCTGCCTGTGGCCACTGCTTAGGGGCCAAAGTGCTCTTTGACCACTTCACTGGGAAAATTGTTTATCTGAGAGAGGCCCCGACTGATGTTTGATGTCCCCTTCCAGTATTCACCAGTGAACAACAACATCAACTCTACCCAGGACATAGAGATGAACAGCATTAATTCCCATGACCAAAGAACTTGAAGCTTCAACAACTGGAACCCCACAGACAGATGAAGAAGCCTCCAGAGAGACTGACTGCCCAGTGTGGTGATCGCCAAATGTTCGGGGGTCTCCCAGGACCCTAGTAAATTCCACATTGTCAGAAAACACTCGTGGAGCCCAGAGTGGTGGCCCACACCGTCACTCCAGCAGGAGGACAAATGCAAGCTTGAGTCTAGCCTGGGCTACAAAGCGAAGCCTGTGTATACACAGAAAGCAAACAGGCTTGAGGGATTGAGAAAATGGCACAAAAGCCGAAGTCTTTCCGTGGGTAAGATAAATCCTCTACCTCATGTTGGACCGTGTAGAATGGTCAAGGAGCTGAAGGACTTCGGCCACTGAGATTCAATGTCAGGATCTCTTTAGCGATTGAGTCATTTAGGGCTCTCCACTCTCTTGACAAGGTCTCACTATGTAGCCAAGGCTAGGCTCAAACTCACAGAGATCCGTCTGCCTCTACCTCACAAATGCTGGGGTTAAAGGCGTGAGGCACCACACCCTTCTCAGTCTCCCTTTTGATAAAGTGAAGAAGATATATTTATTTTTAAAAGCTATATGGTTTTGTATGTATTTTTGAGACAGAGTTTTATATAGCCCAGGCTAGCCTCAAGCTTACTATGTAAGCAAGAATGATCTTACTAATTTATTCTAACTTATTTGTTTTCAAGCGTAAGCATACCCCCCCTCCCCTCTCCTCTCAATCCGATAGTCTCCTTGATTCTCCCGGGACATCATTCTGATTTATGTTTTAATTGCAGATATTGTTTTATTTAACCATATAAAAATCTGTGAACAACAAATCAAAGAAAATGTATTTGTCTTTCTGAGGCTAACTATTTAATATGATTCTTTCCACTTGTATCCATTTTCCTGCAAATGATGGAACCTTGTTTTCCCTTGTGGCTGAAAAATCCCCAGTGTGTGTACCACCTTTTCTTTACCCACTCCTATGTGGGCGCACACCCAGGACGGTTCTGTGTCTGAGTTATTGTGCACAGGCTACAGTAAACACCAGCATGCAAGTGTCTCTGTGATCTAGCGACCTGGAATTTTGCAGACAAATCCGCAGGAATGGCATAGCCAGGTCATGTGGGTTATGGAATCCAGCTTTGGAGGAAGTTGTGGGCTGACTCCCACTGTGTAGGGTCTAGTCTGCATCCACACAGGGATGTGTAAAGGTTCCTTTGTCTGCATCCTTGACAGTGTTTGTTGTCTTCTTGATGGCTGCCATTCTGACTGGGATGGGATAGAATCTGTGTGTGTGTGTGTGTGTGTGTGTGTGTGTGTGTGTGTGTGTGTGTGTGTTAAAGGCTGGGATTAAAGGCATGTGCCACCTCCCCTGGCCCTTCAATATACTTTTAACCTGCATTTTCCTGGGAGCTAATGAGATCAGACACGGTGGTAGTTTGAATGAAAGTGTCACTTGCAGCCACATTGGAGCTATTGTGCCTCCTGGTGCTGCATGGCTGCAGGGGCCCCAGCATCATTCACAGGTGAGTTAAAAACTTGCCGGTCCCAGCTACCCCAGCAGGACCCCTCTCAGGACACAGGGTTTGGTGAAAGGTTGCCAGAGATGACAGTCCTCCACTGTTTTGTCCATCTGTAAATCTGGCGCTTGGAAAGTGGAGGTGGGACTAGGGTTCAGGACTAGCCTCAGCTATACGGTGACTTCAAGAACAGCCTGGGCTACAATTCATGCAACTATAGTCAGCTGGTTTTCTGTTCTTTTCCTCCTTCCTTCCTTCTTTCTTTCCTTTCTGTGAAAGAGATTTTCTGCATAGTTCTGGCTGTCCTAGAACTCACCCTGTAGACCAGGCTGGCCTTGAACTCACAGAGGTCTGCCTGCCTCTGCCTCACAAGAGAGCTAGGACTAAAGGTGTGTGCCACCAGGACTGGCTAATGATTTCTTGTGTGTGCGTGTTTTAAATAAAGATGTTAAAAAATAAACATTGGGAAAAAGACAAATGGTGCTGGGGAAACGCTGTCCACCGCGGAGAAGAACTAAACTCAATCCCTTTATCTCACCCTGAGCAGAAACAAAATCCAAATACACCATGGACCTTAATGTAAGTGTGGGATCGGGGACTGCTGAGGAGACTGTACGGAAAACATTGTAAGATCTAGGCACAGTGTGCGGTGGACTCAGGAGACAGAGGCAGGAGGATTTCTGTGAGTTCTGGACACCAGACCTACACCGAGATGCTGTTTCAAAGAAAAAAAAAACTAAAGAAAAACAACAACCCAGTCAATAAATGGTCTCACAAAACGAACACACAGTTCTCCAAAGATGGAAAACAAATGATGATATAGATGCGAAAAAAATGTCTGTCTTAGTTTAGGGTGTCTACTGCTGTCAAGAGACACCATGACCAAGACAGCTCTTATAAGGAAACACTGGGGCTGGCTTACTGTTTCAGAGGTTTGGTCCATTATCATCATGGCAGGAAGCATGGTGGCGTGCAGGCAGACATGGTGCCGGAGAAGGAGTCAAGGGTTCTACGTCTGAATCAACAGAGTGACGCTAGGTTGACCTTGAGCATTTGAACCTCAGAGCCCACCTGCGATGACAGGGACGTACCCACTCCAGCTGTTGTTGGTTGTTTATTACTCTTTACTTTGGTCTTTTGGGGCCCACCATCCAACTCCCAAATAAATACACATGGAGACTTATTACTTATAAATGCCCGGCCTTAGCTTGGCATATTTCCAGTCAGCTTTGCTTAACTTCAATTATCCCATCTTCCTTTTGCCTCTGGGCTTTTTCCTTTTCCTCCTTCTGCATACCGTTCTTTCACTCTTACTCCGTGGCTGGCTGGGTAGCCTCTCACCTTCTTCTTGCTTCTCGATTCTCTCTCCCCAGATCTCTCCTCCTATTTATTCTCTCTGCCTGCCAGCCCCGCCTATCCTTGCTCCTGCCTTGCTATTGGCTGTTCAGATTTTTATTAGACCAGCAGGTGTTTTAGACAGGCACAGTAACACAGTTTCACAGAGTTAAACAAATGCAACATAAAAGAACGCAACACATCTTCGCATCATTAAAGAAATTCTCCACAGCATAAACAAACGTAACACATCTTAAAATAATATTCCACAACACCAACAGGTTCACATTTCCTAACAGCACCACACCCTATGAGCCTGCAGGGGCCATTTTCATTCAAACTACCACCGTGTCTGACCTCATTAGCTCCCAGGAAAATGCAGGTTAAAAGTATATTGAAGGGCCAGGGGAGGTGGCACATGCCTTTAATCCCAGCCTTTAATTTTTCCCCATGAAGGGACCATTGAACAATCTATACTGGGTGTAAGGTGTTCCGTGTTCCTCGGGATGATCTAAGAAAAACAAAGAGGGTCACTCCAAGGTGTCATTCAGGCTCGGAGGCAGCAGAGAGGAACGGTTCCAACAGCCGTGCAAAGGCGTATTTGTTGGCTGTGACACCAAGCTTTCTTTTTGCGAGAAACGAATTCTTCATTCCAAAGCCCCTGATTTAATCTATAGGTTACCGAGACCTAATTGTGTACTGTTTGCAGCACCCAGTAATTCCCGATATCCAGGTGTGCCAGGAGCATCATGCAAAGGCTGTGTCTCTCCTTCATATAGGAACACCATAGAAACGACTAGTCATTCCAATCTGTTGTGGAATGATCTTTTTGTACACTGTGAAGATGTGTCTCTCTCTGATTGGTTTGATAAAAAGCCAACAGCCAATAGCTTGGCAGGATTTCTAGGCACAGAGGATGCTGGGAAGAAGAAAGGCAGAGTCACCAGCCTGATAAGAGAACAAGGAAGACCTGAGGAGGAGATGTAACAGGCACAAGCCATTCAGCAGCACATAAATTAAAGAAATGATTGATTTAAAGAATTATAAGAGCCAGGCAGTGGTGGCGCACGCCTTTAATCCCAGCACTTGGGAGGCAGAGGCAGGCGGATCTCTGTGAGTTCGAGACCAGCCTGGTCTACAAGAGCTAGTTCCAGGACGGACTCCAAAACCACAGAGAAACCCTATCTCGAAAAAAAAAACACAACAACAACAACAACAAAATAATTATAAGAGCTAGTTAGAAACAGGCCTAAACTGTCCCCTAAGCTTTCATAGTTAATAATAAATCACGGGGCCCCTGCAGCTGTTACCATAGACTCAGTGGAAACACCTGTTTCATTCTGCTGTTCAACCTCGATACAATGATTCTACTACAGTTCCTCTTCAGAGCAGGGGGAGGGGAAACAAGCTAACAAAAAGCCAAGCCCTACTGCTGGGGAGCCCTAGCTCCTTTTGAATTGGTGACTCCACCAGCCCACCCTTGGAAATAGGTGTAGCTCACCTGGGCGGAGGAGCCAGGAGCTCCAGGGACTCTATGACCATTAAGGCCTGGGGACCTGTTGTAAAGGCTACAAGTGTTATCTTAAGGGCCTAAGGCAAGGATTCTCTGTGTCTTCTTGTCTTACAGATAGTGCGGGGTTATCTACACTACTAGCCACCTCCAGTTCTGCTTGGAGCCACTGGCCATTCAGATAGTGCAAGAGTCACCTAGGCTATGAGCCACCTCCATTCCCAGCCTTCTGGGCAGAAAACAGTTTACACGCTTCTGCTGTTGAAGAGACAACCCTGCACATTTAACATTCCTGCTTTCCCTAGTGCTTATCTGTGAGCCCAAGGGCCTTCCCACTTCCCACAGGCTCACAAACACAAGGCCTTTGGGAGACTAGGCAGCTGCTCAGGAGTAGAGCGCTTGCTGTGTGGAGGACTGGGTTCTACTGCCAACACCACAAAACCTCGTGTAAGATTTACTTAATTTTATATGTTTGGCCTGCATGAATGTGTGTGCACTGTGTGTGTGCTGGTGCCCATGGTGGTCAGGAGAGGGCACTGGAGCCTCCAAAACTGGGATTAAATATGGTCGTGAGCTGCCATGTGCATGCTGGGAACCAGACTCCTCCAGAAGAGCAGCTGAGCCATCGTCTCTAGCCCCTCCATGAAACATCGTAAAAGGCTTGTGATCACAGATCCATCAGGCTCTCGCTACCCAGAGGGAGCTGAGACTACAAAACAGCAAGTGGGGAGGGAAGAGGAGGGTAAGGAAGCTGGGGGGGACCCCGCAGTGTGGGAGAAGGGACATCGGTAGCTCTGGTGGGTGAGTGGCTCCCAGCACATGATCAACTGCTACAACTTTCTATGCAAGCTGAATGGTGGTGGCACACGCCTTTAATCCCAGCACTCCGGAGGCAGAGGCAGGAGGATCTAAGTTTGAGGCCAGCCTGGTCTACAGAGCTAGTTCCAGGACAGCCAGACCTATACAGAGGACCTTGTCTCGAAAAATGAAAGCAAAAAAACCAAAAAAACAAAAGAAAGAAAGAACGAAAGAAAGAAAGAAAGAAGAAAGGAAGAAAGAAAGAAAGGAGAAAAGAAAAGAAATGGAGGAGCAGAGAAAGTTATGACCTCGAGATTCCTGCATGCCGATAGACCAAGCAAACCTGTCAGACCCCTCATAGAGACTTCAGTGTCTGTGTCTGCGGTGGGGGTGGAGGATTCTGGGAAGAAAAGCTTATAATTTTAAAGTGAAGCCATCATGGAGGGGCAGAAGCTGCCATGGCAGGGGCAGAAGCCACCGCGGCAGGGGCAGTCCCCTAGCCAGGTCCCTACCTGCCACACTGGATTAATCCTTAGGGGTAGACAGAGTTCAGGTTAAATCTCCACCTGGAGGTAGGTTCCAGTCTTTACACCTGTCTCAAAAAGAAGTGTCAAAATTAAAATGGAATTGTGGCTTTAAAAGAGAAAAGCCTTGACAGAAAAATTATCTTCCCTGTTGTTTGCTACTGGCACAAGATTCAGAAATGGTTCAAACTGGAAAGTGAAAGACTTGGTTTTGTTTTTCAAGACAGGGTTTCTGTGTGTCCCTGGCTGTCCTGGAACTCGCTCTGTAGACCAGGCTGGCCTCCAGCTCAGAGATCTGCCTTCCTCTGCCTCCATAGTGCTAGGATTAAAGACATGCACCACCACAGCCCACCTCGAAAGACTGCTATATCCTGTTAGGATCCAGCAAGATGGCCCAGCAGGTAAAGATAGTTGCCACAAAACATGAGGACCCGAGTTCAGTTCCTGGGACCCAAATGATGTTCCCAAGTTGTTCTCTGACTCCACATACAAGGTACAGCAAATATGGGTACACACAAAATAAATAAATGTTATAAAGAAGAGAAGGAAGAAAGGAAGGAAGGAAGGAAGGAAGGAAGGAAGGAAGGAAGGAAGGAAGGAAGGAAAGGAATGTAGTTCTTAGGTTCCTAAACCACCCGGAACTGAAAGCCAGTGACCCGCAGCCTGGGGCTGAAAGGATCTGGGCTATCTGGTTCAGCTGCTGCACCACACGTGGCTCAACCTGTCTGCTCTCCATCTCCCCTCCACACACTGGTGTCCACCTCAGATTGACACCAAGATAGTTGCTGTGTCCCAGCCATCAAGATTCAGACCCGGTGAAGAAGCCAACCCCTTCTCCCATCAGCCTCCAGCAGCATCCACCCTCTGATCTCATTGGTTTGCCTCCTATTCTGTTTTCATGATCTAAATGTTTATAATGAACATTGGCGCCTCCTTTCATTTATTTACTTATTTATTTTTGAGGCAGGGTCTCCTTACTTAGCCATGGCTGTCCTGTAACTCAGAGATGGGCCTGTCTCTTAAGAAAGAGTCTCTTAAGCCAGAGTGCAGGATTAAAGGTGTGCATCACCGCACCTGGCTATCTGCCTTTATTATTTGTGTTGCTTTACAGGGCCGCTTACTGGCCTGTAGCTTGCAATGCAGCTAGGCTGACTAGCCATCCAATCCCAGGGATCCTCCTGCCCCCACCTCCCCCGTGCAGGAACTACAAGAGCACATTATAGCACATGACTTTTTATGTGGGTGCTGGGTCTTGAACTCAGGTCCTGCAGCTTGCAAAAGAAGCACTTTACCTCTCCCCAGCCTGACTGTGTGTGCAATGTGTGTGCAAGCCCATGCAGGTGAATGCAGTTCCCATGGAAGCCTCAAGATGGCGCCAGATCCCCTGGAAATGGCGTTAGTAACAACTATGGCTGCTCAGAACCATAGCAGAGTCTTCTGTACTAGACCCGGGCCCTCTTAAAGAGCAGCCAGGGGTCTTAGGAGCTGAGCCATCTTTCCAGCTCCTCTAGAAACAGCCTCTAGATGGCGGTTCTCAATCCGGAGGTTGCGACCCCTTTTGAGAGTCGCGTGACCCTTTCACAGTGGTTGTGTGTTGATACCCTGCATATTGGATATCTACATTATGGTTCATAACATTAGCAAAATTACAGTTATGAAGTAGCAAGGAAAATCACTTTATGGTTGGAAGTCACCATCACAGGAGGAACTGTACTAGGAAGGCTGAGAACCACTGCTCTAGATTGACAACAACATTGTCTCTCTGTCTACAGCCACTCCACGGCGGACAGAAACAGAAAGGACCTGCTGCAAGAAGGATTGCAGGGGGGCATCCTAAGGACCATCTCCAAGCCCTCCATATAGAGAAGATGGGGGGTCTGCAGCTCTTTCGCAGGGCTGGGCTTGGGCAGCAGGAGGGTCCAAATGAGTCCAATGACAAAATTAAAACCAGTGACTGCAGGTCACTGGCTGTTCAGCTACGGCTCTGGCGCTACTCCAGGCATGAACAGGAGGGGGCGATGTGCAATCACGTTTCTCAGAGGAGTGGGGACGGGGCCGCTTGCGCCAAGTGCCAGCAGCCAGGTGGGTAAGCAGAGGTGCTGAGGGCTCCTGGTACAGTTGCCCACCTGGCCCAGTGGGGTGTGGTGACTCTCGCCTGTAACCCAGCATAGAAAGGCACAATTCCTGACTGCGCCACCTAGGGACTGAATGATGCTGGCCATCATCTCCCGCCACCTCAAGATAGGCGTCCGGGAGACACACAAACCCACTGCCCCCGTCTGAAAGTGCTCTCTTCCTGGAGGACCAGAAATCTCACTAAGGCCTTCCTCCTGTCTCTAGATCACCTCCTTTCAATAGAACTTTCTGGAAATATTACGTTTATGTTGTCCAATGTGATTGCCATTAAATGTGTGTGGCTAGCGAGTGCTTGAAGCGGCTGGCTGAGGAACTAAATCTAATTTTTCTTTGTTTGAGACAGGGTCTCTCTATGGAGCGCTGGCTGTTGGGGAACTCACTCTGTAGACTAGGCTGGCCTGGAACTCACAGAGATCCCCCTGCCTCTGCCTCCACCCACAGCATGTATACGGAGATCAGGGGACAACTTGTGTGACCTGGTTCTCGTCTTCCACCATGTGTGTCCTGAGGACATAGCTCAGGTCCGTCAGGCATGGCAGCAAGCGCCTTTAGCTGCTGAGCCACCTCATTGGCCTGACACACGTTTCGGTCTCATTGAACCTCCATGCCCTCCTGTCCTCCGCCTCCCATCATTTAAACAATTTAGGTGATTTCTTTTTTCTTTTTTCTTTTTCAGTCAATGCGGCTTACTATTTCAGAATCCAGCCAGTCCCGAAGCTTCCACCCCAAACTCAGTCCAGGCAGAGCTCAAAACCTGGCAGAACTGGAGAGCCTGCCTCACCCACCTACTGGCCTCACTCCCTCATGCAGCCCTTCCCGGGGCCTCGCCTACCCCGATTTCACAGTTCCCAAGGCGCACCTGGGCGGCCAGCTCAGCCTCAGTCCCTTGCTGAGCAGCCTGGGTCGCCCGGCTCCTCCATCATTTCTCTCCTGATTCCAGATCGCCCCCTTCCGGAGCCCTCCGTATCCCTTAGACTAGGCGGAGGCATCACCCCCCCCCCCACCTTGGTTTTCATCTTTCCTGCCCGGGAGGGGGAGGGGGAGGACGGTGCTACACACAGAGGACCGAAGGCGGGGAGGACCCATCCTAGTCCACATTAGGTCTCAGGCTGAGCATGGGAGTGGACGCTGGACTGAGTGGATGAATACTTTTGAAAAAAGCGAAACAAGAAAAGCATGGGCTAACAAGGTGGCTCAGAGGATGAAGGTACTTGCCGCCAGCCTGACGACCAGAATTCGATCCCTGAAACCCACATGGTGGAGGGGCGAACTCCACCCCGCACCAAATGTTAAAAAAAAAAAAAAAGGTAAATAGACTGAAACAAGACACCACAGACAAAACATATCGGCTGCTCACTGACGCCCCGGCTCCCTGAACTTCAATTTCCCGGTCCTGGCTTCTGCGGGAGGGGAGGTCGTGGGAGGAGGGATTGCTCAACCAGAGGCAACTTTGCAGTTTCAGGGAGCCAGCCATGCTGAAAATGGAGGGGCTAGGCCTGGGAAGTCCTCTGTCACCCTGGAAGACAGGTCCAACCAGTGTGAGCGCTTCTTCTCGGGACATGGGTGGAGACTCGGAGCCTGGGAAACTGTGGAAGGAGATGCTGGGGCTCTGGGACCTCGCAGCCTGACTGTGTCCTGAGGCTGCCTCCGGATGCCCAACTGAACTTCAAGCTCCAGAGAGCCAGCCTGTGGCTCTCAGTGACTTTGACCTCTCTACAGGAAGCAAGATGGAAATTGGTACCCGGACCCCAGGCAGCTTCTCAAAGGGCTTCCTGTTCTCAGGTAAGGAGGGAAAAACCTCAGAGAACCGAGGGACAAGAACGAACAGGATAGTAGAATCCCATCTCCACCTGGATTTCATCTATGGACTTGTGTTTGCTTCCCTTCTGGGTTCTAGGGAGAGAGGTGGGGGACTAGAGACAAGCCGGATTGGTGGTGAGTCGGTCTCACCTAGGATCCCTGTGTTTGGAAGGTAGACCATCCTGAACTACACAGCCAGTTCAAGGCTAGCCTGGTATACTTGGAGACCTTGTCCCAAATCAAAATCTAGGGAAGAGCCAGGCATGGTGGCGTATATATGTAATGGCAGCACTTTGGAGCCTGAGACATAAGGGTCAAAACTTGGAGCTGGACTACAGAGTGAGTTCCATCCTAATCTAGACTATATAGTGCCAACTTGACTCAAAAAAAGAAAACAAAACAAAACAAACTAAAATCTAAGGAATTTTAGGCATGAAATTTTATGATGTAATCGGCATGATAACTAATATAATAGATATGCCTTTAAATATTGGCTGACTGAGTGAATTCAGAGGGTCCAAGTTTTTAAAGACAGACCACATAGCATCTCAGGGGGAAAAAACAAAAAAGCAAAAAAAAAAAAAACCTCTTCTGCCAGTGGGGTGGTAGATCTGTGGCATCTGTGCCTATATTTCTATTCTTACACCCAGGGCAGACATCACTAATCAGTCTCATCATTGAGTCCAGTGGGAAGCCCTCTGAATCCTTGCTTCCAGTTGAGAGTCTATAGTGAGGGGAGGGTTTTGTTATCTGTGCCTGAACTCAGGCCTCCTCCATACCTTCCCACAGCCTTGATCCTGTCTCTCTGGCTGCCCCAAGGCTCCCAGGCAGCCCTCCACATCCTAAAGACCCCAGAGACGCCCCAAAAGAACCAGGACCTTCTCCTGTCCATTCATGGTGTCCCTGGTACCATCCAGGACTTTATCTGGTACCTGGGGGAGGAGACTAATGGAGGCACAAGGCTGTTCTCTTACATCCCTGGACTACAGCGGCCCCAGAGGGATGGCTACGCCATGGGACAGCGAGACATTGTTGGCTTCCCCAATGGTTCCATGTTGCTCCGAGGTGCCCAGCCTTCAGACAATGGCACCTACCAAGTGGCTGTCACCGTCAACCCTGCCTGGACATTGAAGGCCAAGACTGAGGTCCAGGTGGCTGGTGAGTGCTTGGCTGTGGTGGGAGGAAAGCCATGTGCAAACACTATTTCACTTGACTTTCTCACTAATATGCACAATGCACATTGATTGAGGGCCTACTGTGTACCAGACCACGGATATCCCCAGCCCTAAGGAACACCCCATTTCATTAGTCCTTACCATATATTAATTATCCCCATATTTATTGAGCACCTTAAAAAAAAACCTGGCTCAATTTTCAAGCCAAGTGTTTGTTGATGTTGTTGCTCCAAGTGAAGGGCTAGGGGACAATAGTGGCATCTAACACTTCTAGGGAACCTTACCGGACCAAGTATGATAGTAAATATTTTCCGTAAATTGGGCTGACTATTAGGTCTGGCTAAAAGCTTAGGGTCGAAGACTGGGCGTCTCAGAGAAGTTAGACAGCTGCTCTGGTCTCACTACACATCACTACTGCTCGCCACTCTTAGGACCCCAGACGGTGGCAGAACCAGAGCCACCCGTGCGAGGAAACCACTACAATACAGTAACTTTCCCTCTTAAAGAAGCTTCCTGGGGCGTCACCGTTGTTGTATTCATTTTACAGAAGGAGGAACCGAGGCACAGTGAGGCTATGATTTGCCTCCTCAGAAAATTAAACAGGCTGACATGACACAGGAAACAGGATCATTAGAGCAGTCTCTAAGATGACCCTCAGTTAGGTGCCACCCAACTCTGGGGAGGCTGAGGCTGTGGGGGTAGGGGAGATTCGCGCCAGCCTGGGCTACAGAGCAACCTAGCAGGACCTTGTCTCAAACATGTCAACAGGGTCAACAAGATGGCTCAAGTGGTAAAGGCAATCGGTGCCAAGCCCGACAGACTGATTCTGATCCCCAGGACCCCATGGAGAGAGCCAGCTCCTGAAGTTCCCCTTTAACCTCCGCCCGCAAGTGCATGCAGACACATGAATAGATAAATAAACTAATGAAAAAAGGAAAGATAGGCATGCTTGGGTTTGATGGTTCACAGAAGGACTATGATCTTGGTGCACTAGGCAGGGGCTCTACCACTGAGCCACACCCCAGCCCCTCACTGGGGGATTCTAGGCAGGGGCTCTACCCACTGAGCCACACCCAGCCCCTCACTGGGGGATTCTAGGCAGGGGCTCTACCACTGAGCCACGCCCCAGCCCCTCACTGGGGGATTCTAGGCAGGGGCTCTACCACTGAGGGGCTGGGGTGTGCTCAGTGGTAGAGCACGTTTTCTAGCATGCATAGCATGGCACTATATAGTAAATAATTAGGTGAGGACAGACAGAAGCCATCACTGATACAACCCTCTCTCCCAGACACACGCGAATACTCACTCACATCCCACCTGCCTGTCAATGCTGGGATCATGGCTGCTACCATCATTGGGAGTCTTGCTGTGGGCTCACTGCTTGTAAGTGGCATTGCCTACATCCTGGTCACTCGAAGACGGAAGGGCAGGAGCCCCAGGTACAGGTCCCAGATCTCCCTCCACGTCCTCCATTCCCTCTCCTCCTCGAGGTGCCCTGTCTTCCCCAGGCAGGGTGAGGGTCAGGTAGTCTCCAGGTTCTCGGGGTTCCCTTCCCCCACCCCAGTATCTCAGGGTTCTTCTATGTACCCCCAGGGTTGCAGCTACAGAGCAGCCGGAACTGAACACTATTCCTGAGTCTGGTAAGCCAGGAACACGTGTCTTTCTGTACCACCCCCTTGAAGGCCTCCAGTCCCACATGTAATCAGAGCCCACTGGGACCCTTGGACTCACTGAGGGGACCAGAGACCCCTCCTAAACCTCCAGGGTTCCTGCTCCTGACAGGTCCCCTGTTCATAAGCCTTCCATAGCTCCCCAGTGCCAGGGACAAACTTCCTTTTCCCTAGCGTGCCTCCCCGGTTCCTCACTCTCTCGACAGCGGGCCCTCTTGCCAGCCTCCGGCAAGCATCCCTCCGGCATCAGCCCAGTTTTCACTTCTCACTGTCTCAGATGACCCCTCCTCCGGGGAGTTCTACCTGATGTCCAGGGTGGTCAGGCACCTGCTTCTATGTTCCTACAGCTGCCCCATCCCTGTCCCACTCCCAGCCTTAGACCCTCTGGGCTGTCACTCTTTGGGGATAGGTCTTTCTTGCCCCAGAGGACTAGGGAGGGCACTGCCTGGATTATCTGGGCCACCACTATGTCCCCAGCACACAGTTGGCAGGAGGAGGGGTCTGCATAAAATGTTGGTAGAAGGACTGAATGAGTGAAATGGACAGGCAGGCAGAATGGGCCCACAGGAGCCTTCTGTCATTGGGGTCCCCTTCCTCCTCTACTTCAGGTGACAGCAACGTCTATGAAGTGATGCCATCTCCAGTCTTCCTGGTGTCCCCCATCAGAGACAAAGGGCCAGTGAACGCAGCCATGGTGAGTCTGTCCCCTTAGAGCTTGCTTCTCACAAGACCCCATCCCAGAGTTAGCCATGGTGGTTGGGCACGACTCTCCATGGAGAGAGATCTCCAATCCACTCATCCTTCCTTTCTTCCTTTTCTTCCTTCCTGTGTGTGTGGAGGGGAAGGGGAGGGACACGTGCCATGGCACGGCGTGCACACAGAGGTCCAAGGACAGCTCGTGGGAGCCAGTGGGTGCCGGGAATCAAACTCAGATCATCAGGATGAGTGACAAGCACCTCGCCCCACAGAGCTGTCTTCCCAGCCCCTCTCCCCAATTCTTGTGTATCTCTTCAACCCAGATAGGGTCCAATAACAGCCAAGGCAAGGATTCCATCCAAGTCCAGCTAGTGGAGCAGTGAGCTTTCTGAATTTACTTCCAGGATGTGGGTGATTCTGGAAGTCACACACGGCAGGTGACAACTCAAGAAAGCCAAACAATTTGCAGGCAGAGGCACCAAAGAACCATGCTTCCCTAGCGACCTTCATCCCAGCACCCGAGAATTCAAAGTCAGCCTCCAAGCTTGAGGTCAGCCTGTGCTAGACTGAGATCCTGTCTCAAAGAACAGCAAAGTAGGGGAGAGCTGGCTCAGCACTTGCTTGCTACTCCTGAGGACCCAAGTTCAGTTCCCAGCAACCACATCAGGTAGCTCACAACCAAATTTAACTCCAGCTTCACAGACCTAATGCCCTGTATGGCCCTCAGCGCATGCACATGACACACACACGCACATGCACACGCACACACAATACACACAAACACACAGAAACACAGACATATACACAGAGACACATACACAGAAACACACACACACAGAGGCTCACACAAATAGACACACAGACACGCAAATGTACACATACATACACAGACACATGGAAACACAGACATATATACACAGAGACACAGACACATGACACACACACATGCACACATACACATACACAGACAAACACACCAATATGAATTAAAAGAAATCTCTAAAATAAATCAGGAAAACGCGGAGTCAGGAAATGGCTGTGCAGGCAAAGACTCTTGCTCCACTAACCTGAAAACATGAGCTCCCTCCCTGGAAACCACATAAATGCCAGAGAATATGATTCTATAAAATCATTGCCGTGCCGAGATACACACCCCTACATACAATAATATATATTTTTTTTATTTTTCCAAGACAGGGTTTCTCTGTGTATGTAAATCCTGGCTGTACTGGAACTCACTCTGTAGACCAGGCTGACTTCAAATTCAGAGATCCCTGCCTGCCTCTGCCTCCTGATCACTGGGATTAAAGGCGTACGATACCACTATCCAGCAATAATAATATTTTTAGCCGGGTGGTGGTGGCGCATGCCTTTAATCCCAGCACTCGGGAGGCAGAAGCAGGCGGATCTCTGTGAGTTCGAGGCCAGCCTGGTCTACAAGAGCTAGTTCCAGGACAGGAACCAAAAGCTACGGAGAAACCCTGTCTCGAAAATCAAAAAAAAAAAAAAATTTAGACAGAGAGACTGTAAAATGCAAAGGCTAATTGTCTAAACCCCAGTGTGGGGAGGAAGCTAAACATTAATGATGAAACTGTCCAGCCCTGGGTACCCCAAAAGTCCTCATGTCAGGCCAACCACCTAAGATGCGTTGACCTGCAAGGCATGGGTTCCCTGCACTCAGGGCTTCATAATCCAAGGGCCAGTGGGGACTCTAAGACCAGGCATGTACATCATAACATCGGCGTCAAAGGTTGGGGGGCAGGAGGCACCCCTCACTTTACCCCTCCCTTGCAGAGCCGGCCTCCACTCCCTTCCCAGCAACCGCAGCCTGAGAACCAGTACTACCAGGTATGGACTGGGGAGCAGGGGGTTCAGATGGCCAGGGATAGGGGCTCCTCCTTCCCCCCAGGGACACCTGTTTCGGGTTCCTTGAGACTGACCCCCTGAACAAGGTCCTTCCTTACCTTCCTGTTCCCCGGGCCTCCTCCTCTGTAAAAATGATCCAAGGCTTCAAATCTGTCCGAGGAGGGGGGAGAGCCCAGAGTGGAAAAGGAGATTGCTCGGGGTCACACAGCAGAACAGGTCATGCCTCCATGGAGCCCCACTGCATGATGGGACTCACTTCTGGAGTGACTCTCAAGTTTCTCCAGTTCCCTCCTGGGTGTCCCTGAACTCTGTCTGTCTCCACGGGTGTTTCTCTGCTCTTCTGGGATTCCCCTGTGCTCCTCCCTCCTCGTCTATGTCTCCCATCTCTTCAGCCTCCCCATGTCCTCCTCCTCCTCCTCACCTCCCACCACGTCCTTCTCCATGTCCTCAGTTCTCTCACTCTATCCCATCTCAGTCTCTTGGTTCCATTCTCCGTCTGTCATGTTCTGACCGGCCCCCACGCCCACCCCATCTCCCTCCTCCTCTTAGGACCTGCTGAACCCCGACCCAGCCCCATACTGCCAGCTGGTGCCAACATCCTGACGGGCTCGGGGCCAGGCCTGCCCAGAAGACAGAACTCTGCCTTTCCCTGACCGCAGCCCTCAGGGCCTCACACCTGAGGAAAAGACACGCGTGACACCCACAGGCCAAAGCTGTGGGAGCTGGTAAGATAAGCTCGCCAGAGACCCAGTATTGCAAGGGGCACGTGCCCCACGGCGTGGGAGACTGACAGCCCCAGCTCCCCGGAGTCCCAAGAGGTTGTGCCTCTTGCCATCCTGCGGCCACCTGCCCGAGAAAGCAGGCTCCTGCTTCGCCAGGGCCAGGGTCCACATTCATGGAAGAAGGCTTCAAAATCCCATGGTGGCTCAACCAGTTACCTGAAGTCCTTTTCTTGGGGAGAAAACACTACCAGGAAGACGCTGGACCTGTGGGTGGCAACCCATGGTGGGATGAGGGGGGCACCCTTTCACAGGGAGTCACCAGAGCAAAAGCAGCTGACCTAAGAAGATAGCCCTGGCAAGTTGCCAGACCTCAAAATCAGCCACCCAGAAGACTGGGACACCTGCCTAGAACCCGCCAGTGAGGGGCTGGGGGCGTGGCTCGGCAGGTAGAGTGCTTGTCAATCATGCGTGAAAGACCTGGGCTCAATCCTCCAAACCACAGGATTAAAAAAAAATCAAAATCGGGGCTGGAGAGATGGATTAGAGGTTAAGAGCACTGACTGTTCTTCCGGAGGACCTGAGTTCAATTCCCAGCAACCACATGGTGGCTCACAACCACCTATAATGGAACCTGGTGCCCTCTTCTGGCCTGCAGGGACACATACAGGCAGAACACGGTATACATAATTAAATAAGTCTTAAAACAAAATCAGAAATCAATAGCCATTGGGAGAGATGGCGAGCCCTGCGCTAGGGAATGGGAGAAGGAAGACTCTAGAAGCTTGAAAGCTCAAGAAATCACACTCCACCCACCTTGCGCCCCAGCCTCCAGAGGCACCCAGCCCTGTGGCCTCTGGGACCAAAAAACAGTGACAACCACTTTGGACTCCTTTTTTTTTTTTTAAAGATAATAAACTTGTGTTGTTTTAAGCCACTCATTTGGTAGCAGTTTGTTCCAGCAAACAAGAGGACGCTGAAGGATCCCAGGGTGGGGAAGTTCAGCCCCAGCTGATTGGCACTATGTAAATGAGCCAGGGGGCGTTATAACCCCATCTGATTGACACTATGCAAATGAGCCAAGGGACGTTATAGCCCCAGCTGATTGGCACTATGCAAATGAGCTCCTCGAGGAACTTCCCCAGGCCTAGATCACACACAACCTGTGCCTGGCTAAGTTAGCCACCCAGACAATCATGAGGCCTCAGGTCTAGAGGAGTCAGCGAATGAATAAATGAAGCTGGGCTTCCTTAGTTCAAAAAAAAAAAAAAAAAAAAAAAAACCTTGGTTTTTTTGAAACAATACCTCTCTGTATAGCCCTGACTTGCCTAGAGCTCACAAAAGTCCACCTGCCTCTGCTTCTTGAGTGCTGAGCTAAAGGCGTATGCCACCACACCCGGGCAAATCTGTAATTAAAAAGATTTGTGTGAGGGTGGGTGGTTTTCCTGTTTGACCAAATGACGTTCAAATCGTGCTCTTGCTCCCTCTTCTGGCCACAGGTGGAATTGCACGTCCTCAGCTCCTAATTAGGGTGCAACAATGTCACTTGCTTTGATTGATGAAATGTGGGTGGTAGCAGCACATCCAGGTGTGTCATCGCTTTTCCTCCCTATTCCTGTAACAGTGACTGGTCCTATCGTGGTTCCTGGGTAAGCCCACATAATCCTCCTGACCCTTGTCACACCTGTCTACCTGAGACAGGAGTGTGCCCTTAATGAGCCATGCTGTGGGTGAAATGGGGCTGCTTATTACTGCAGCATAACCCAGCTCACCCTGACCTCAGATGAGGAGACCCAGCCTCCTCAACGTAAAACTACATTTCCCAGATGTCCTTGCAACTGGATCTCAGCATATGGTTAAGTTCAAGTACAATCAAATATGGAGAGAAGTTTTATCAACAGTTCACGAAGAGGTCTTCTTGCTTGGCAAGAAGCAGAACACGTGAGGGAGTTGGGTGTGTGTACTGCTGTAGGCAGCATCACCATGCCAGCTACATAGTAATCTGGATGAGAAAGACTCCCTTGAGTAAGCCATTTCTTTGAGAAGTCCATCATTTCCAACTTGCTCTCCCTTCCTTCCTTCCTTCTTTTCTTTTTTCTTTCTTTCTTTCTTCCTTCCATTTATTTATTTATTTATTTATTTATTGTTTTCCCCTCCCCACAAGTTTGCGTCAGGTAGGCAGGCAGGTGCAGCAAGGATCAGGAAAACTTTGCTTCATGTATGGACATCTTCAGATCTTCAGAAACCAGGTGATATGGTTAGACTTTTGTTTGTTTTTTGTTTTTCGAGACAGAGTTTCTCTGAAGCTTTGAAGCCTGTTCTGGAACTAGCTCTTGTAGACCAAGCTGGCCTCAAACTCATAGAGATCGTCTGCCTCTGCCTCCCGAGAGTTGGGATTAAAGGCGTGTGCCAACACCACCCGGCTCAGGGTTAGACTTGATAGCCGGGAAAAGCAAGGACCGCGACGTGCACGAAAGTGACTTTATTTATAAACTCCGAGCTGGAAGCAGTTTCCACTCGTTTTGCCTTGGCTGAAGAAAGTCACGCGGAGCAGAGTCCTAGCAAGGGCTGGTTGTTGATTGAATAGGAAGGGTTGGAGAGCAAGAGGGGTGAAGCATCCATTCATGAATTCCACAAGTATTTATGAAGCGTCTCCTGCATACATCACTGTTTTGGGTTCCAGGAGATATCTATAATCAAAACAGAGACCTATCCCTAGTGACCTCCCGGAGACTCGGGGACAATCGATGAGGTGGGGACAATACCACAGGGGTGACAATGTTGGGAGGGGAAACAGTGAAACAAACGGTCTTCCCACTAAGATATTTGTGCTTAAATATTCACGAACTAAAAACAGGCCAGCAAGATGGCTCTGCGGGTAAAGGGGCTTGCTGCAAGACTGATGGCCTGAGTTTCGATCCCCAGCACCCACACATTGGAAGGCGGGAACTGACTCCCACAAACCACCCTCTGAGCTTTGGCACGCACACAATATTAAATATGTGTAGTTTTTTAAAAACACTACAAGGAAAGAAGAGGTGAGGAAGGAGGAGTGTGAAAAACAGCCAATCTTGGATCCGGGAACCTCGCAGCTCCCCCACAGTTCCACGATGAGCCAGTAGGAGGCAGCAGAGGCCAACAAACAGGCCGCCAGGCGCAAGCCCATCCACTCCCCACCCACCCCTGCTTTTGTCCCCTTCTGCCCTCTCTGCTGCCTCGGGCCGAAACACCCAACTTTGATCGGCCTCTGCCTGCAGCAGGCGTGCCTGTCACCTCCTAAATTTAAGCCTCCCGTGTCCCAACAGTTCAGCCTGAACCAGGCAGGTCCCCTCCTCTCCGCCTCAGACTCTGTGTCCTGTCGTTTCTCCCCCACCCTTCCAGGACCAGCCATAGCCCCGGTGCCTTTAAATACAAACTTCTCAGGCCAGGTATCAGAGGACATCCTTTTCATTCCTTTCATCCCAGCACTCGGGAGGCAGAAGCAGGTGGATCTGTATGAGTCCGAGGCCAGCCTGGTCTGCAGAGTGAGTTCCAGGAGAATTACACAGAGAGACCCTGTCCCAAAACAAATAAGCAAAGGACAAAAAGAAAGCAAACAAACAAAAAAGAAAATCCAAAAATAGAAGTACAAATAAATGGCTATAAACTTCCCACAGCCCGCAAGTTTGAATCCTGGGGGGGGGGGGGTTGGTTGCTACCCTCTTAGTGTTCTTCCCCTCTTACCCCCACTTTGTGATCCACAGGACGAAATTTCCTCCTGCACGCCAAAATTCGAACTGGGGCTCTCCTCTCCCTGTCCCCGGAAGAATGTAAACGACTACAAAGGAAAAGGGCACAGAATGCGAGTTATTGGCCCAAAGCAAGTGTCAGTGAGGATGGGACTGCAGGCAGCCAAGCTCAGCCCAGTTAGATGGAGCCGGGTAGCTCCGGCTGGAACTAAGCACCAGGATCTTCCCACCAGGGGTCCCTGTTGCCTGCCGTGCCGCTCCCGGGACAGCCCCAGCTTCTGAGAGATAGTGGCTCCTTCTTGGACAAATGAGGAAGTGGCCCTGGGGAAGGAAGTGGGCTGGGCTCTGACCCAGAGTCTATATGATTCATGGGGAAAACCTGTTCCAAAGCCACCTCGTCTGTGGGCGAAGGGGTCAGTGCCCGCTCGGCGGGGTCACAGGATCACCCACTGTAGACTCGTGAGCAGAAGTCTTGACACCTCGACTCAGCAGACCTCCATGAACTCCCGAGGGAGCCAGGGTCTGTGCACAGGCTTTAATGGGCACCTAGGGGGCGGCCTCCTCCCTGTGGGAGGTGGAGGTGGCCCTGGTCTGGAGAGAGCGGCTCCGCCACAGAGTGCCCGCCCAGAAGCTACCTCTCTAGCCCTTTTACTGGGATGTTATAGTTTCCTTTCCAGTTGTTTTGAGAAATTACCCTGAGAAAAAAGCAAGTTAGGGGAGAAAGTGCTTATCGGCTCACGGCTCCAAAGACCAGAGTACAGGCTGCTGTGGCAGGGAAGTAAAGACAGGAACAGAAAACAGCTGACAGCTCTCGTCTCAGCAGGAAGAGAGAAACAAACACTGGTCAGTGCTCAGGGGCTTCTCTCTCTCTCTCTCTCTCTCTCTCTCTCTCTCTCTCTCTCTCTCTCTCCCCCACACACACACACACACACACACACACACACACACAGCATCTCACTGTTCTCTCTCTGTGTGTCTCTCTCTGTCTCCTCTCTCTGTCTCTGTCTGTCTCCTCTCTGTCTCTGTCTCCTCTCTGTCTGTCTCTCCTCTCTCTCTCTCTCTCTCTCTCTCTCTCTCTCTCTCTCTCTCTCCCCCCCACACACACACACACACACACACACACACACACCTTTGACCCCAGCCCTCCCGAAGCAGAGGCAGGCTGATGGGCCACCCTCATCTCCATAGAGAGTTCCAGGTTCCAGGGCCACCAGGACTGCAGAGTGAGACCCTGCCTCATAAAAAAAATAAATAAATAAATAAATAAATAAAAATTTAAAAGAAAAGGAAGACAAGAAAAGGAAAATGTGAAGAAGGAGCTGGGCGGTGCTTTACCTAGTGTACAGGAGCCTCTGCTTCAACCTCTAGTGCCACAAGGTTAACGACAGCCATGTGGGGCTGGGGAGATGGCTCAGGTTCCATTTCCAGCACCCACATGGCGCCTCACAGCAGTCTGTAACTACAGTCCTAGGGGGATCAAGGACTGCCTCTTTCAAGCACTACACATGTGTGGTGCACACAAGTACGTGCAGCTAACCACCATACACATACAATAGCAATGAAAATTAGTTATAACAGTGTGTTGATCAATTGTGGAGGATACCTGAGAGCCACCTCTGGCTGCAGGTGTAGGTGTACTCCTGTGCAGACACACACACACACATACACACATGCACATGCATGCACACATGTGGGCACACACATGAACACATGTACAAATGCGAGCGTGCACGCACACACTTGCACATGCATGCAAACACGCATACACGCGTGCACACGAGCGCACAGACACACACACAACACAGTGTCTCTGATGAATATGTGCAGGTTTCTTCCTGCCGTGTTTTCCCTAGAGCACCAGTGACACCCACATGGCAGTCTTCGGTACGCAGAGTTGACAGACAGCTGAGGGCACCCAGGACCCTCTGCTGGTGGGCAGGCAATGTGCTTGGCTGTGAGCTGTGATGGGCACAGGAGTGGGAGGGATGACACCACCTTCTGCTTTGGATAAATGCATTCCATTTCCATAATAAAGGAGTTTATAAGGTTGATTTTATCTGTGTGCATGTATGCCACATGTGTTTGGATGCTCTCGGAGGCCAAAGAGGCCATCAGGTCCCCTGGAGCTGGAGTTACAGATGGCTGTGATGTCGGTGCTGGGAACCCTCTGGAAGAGCAGCAAGCGCGCTTCACTGCTGAGCCATCTCTCTCCAGCCCCGTAATGAAGTCTTTTTAAGTTCGGGTGGTGACGCACAGCTGTAACCCCAACAATGGAGGAAGTGGGGCCGAGGAAAAAGGAGTGTGAATTTGAAACTAGCCTGGACTGTACAGAAAGACTCCGGAAAAAACAACAACAACAACAAAAAACCCTACATACACTAGCCTGCCTCGGGATGCTTGAATATATTGTACTGCGCATTGGAAAACACGCCTCCCCTTATACCCTCAAGATCCCTGTCACCTCAGTCTGGTCTCAGTTTACTTCCTCGGGTGTCTGCTGACCTCCCTAGCTGTAAGAATGACCTGTGTACTCCCTATCCTCTTGACCCATTTTATCTTCTGTCTTACAGAACCACGACACTAATCTTTCTCTGATAATATAGGGGATTTAAAAAGATTATTGCCCGTGTCCCTCAAATAAGATTTAGCCACATAAGAGACAAGCTCTATCTGTCGTCTGTCCCCAGCACTTTGGTGTGGAGTCAGCACTCAGTAAATATTTGCTAGGCGATTGAATGACTTGGAAACCCCCGAGCAAGGAGAGGAGTGGGGAGGTGCCAAAGGGGTGGGAATGAGAGGCCCGTTTCTCCAATCCACCTGCCTGTCTAGCTGAGAGCAGGGTGTGTGTGTGTGTGTGTGTGTGTGTGTGTGTGTGCGCCTGTGTGCAAATGTGTATGCTGCGTGTACCTATGTGTATGTCGTTTTTGTTTTGTTTTGTTTTTCTGAGATAGGGTTTCTCTGTGTAACAGTCCTAGCTGTCCTGGAACTTGCTTTGTAGACCAGGCTGACCTCGAACTCACAGAGATCTGCCTGCCTCTGCCTCCCAAATGCTGAGATTAAAGGGGTGTGCCACCACTGCCCAGTGTGTATGTGTTTCAATGTGGATCAAATTGAAGGTTTTGTATGTGCTAACCAAGTGCTCTGCCACTGATTCATGCCCCCAGCCCCTCACTGGGGGATTCTAGGCAGGGGCTCTACCACTGAACCACACCCCAGTCCCTCACTGGGGGATTCTACCATTGAATTATTTTCCCATGCTTCTTTTTGCTGTTTATTTTAAAGAAGGGTTTCATTCAATTCTCCAGACTGGCCTGGAATATACAATCTTTCTACCCCAGTCTCCCAAGTAACTGGGATGACAGGCCTGTGCCACCAGGACCGACTGCTGGATGCTGTTTGCGGGTGAAGAATGAAGGGGACTTGGGGACCTTTGAGCTAACAGCCTCCCTGGTCCATTTAGGACTTGAGGGATCTTGCCCTCCAGCCCTTCTTAGGAAGACACGCCCCCAGTTCAGGTTTACCAAATTCTGCCTTGCCCTGTCCTCAGCTTCCTTGGCTGGCAAGGGAAGGGGATAAGGGACTCCTTGCCTGCTTCAGTGGAGTAAGGGTCCCCACTAGAGTCTCCTAACACACTCCAGGCTTCCAGAAGTATTAACAAGTCAGTCTTGACTAGGAGGGAGATGGCTGGGCCCCTTCCAGCCTTGTGCTCCCTAGGGAGCTGGTGAGGTGGCAGATAAGGGGACTGGGGAAGGGGAGCCCCACAAAACAAGGTCACAGGACTGTATCCTCAAGCGGCCCCACAGACAAAGGATTACTCTGTTTGTATGTGATTGTTTTTATTTGGGTTTGAGGAATCCTTCTCTGTTAGTTTTGTTGTTGATAATTTTGTTTTTAAACTTTTGTTACATTCTATCTCTTGGGGGAGGGCGAGTGCCCCTGTTTTGGCACAGGTGTGGAGATCAAAGGACAGCTCATAGCCAATCCTCTACTTTCTCTGTGTGGGGCCAGTGACAGAGCTGAGGTCATCCTGGTCTGCCGCCAGTGCCTTTACCCAGCACTGACCCTGTTTCTGGGTTTTTGTTTTTATTTTGGTTGGTTTTTGGTTTAGTTGTTTTTTTTGTTTTGTTTTGTTTTGTTTTTGAAACGGAGGCTTGCAGGGTAGCTCAGGCTGGCATCGAACTGGCAGCAATCCTCCTGCTTCACCCTCCCTAGCACTGAGATTACAGGTGTGTGCTTCTGTCCCAGACTACTTCAGCATGCTATGGAAAGTTGTCCCGAGCATCATGGATTTGGGGGGTGGAGCTGGAGGACTGGAAAGTGTCACCATCATTGGCCCCACTGCATCTATAGATCCAGCTCTTTTGGAAACTAAGGCAGGAAGATTGCCTCATATTCAAGGCTAGCCTGGGCTATGTAGCAAAATTCTGTCTCAAAAAGAAAATGGGCTGGGCGTGGTGGTACAAATCTTTTGCCTTTGATCCCAGAGGCAGGTAGGTCTCTGTGGGTTTCAGGCTTGCCTGGTCTACAGAGCCTGGCTACACAGGGAGATCCTATCTAAAGAAGAGAAAATTGAAACAAAAAAATAAGGGCCAGGAACTTCAATCAGTTTGATACAACGGTTGCCTAACCCAGAGCCCCGTGTCTGAACCTCAGCGCCAGAGAAACTAGGTGTGTGCCCGAAATTCCAGCATTGGAGAGGTGGAAGCTAGAGGCGGTTCAAAGTCAACCTACAGTACACAGTGGGTTCCAGGCCACCTGGCTTCCAGGAGGCTTTATTTCAAAAACAAAAATGTAATTAACCAAAAATAAAAAAGAAAAGAAAATAATAAAAAGATCTTCTAATGTAGTATTCTAGTCCATCTGTTTGCGTCAACTCCTCAGACAGAAGTTGAACCTCACGTCATCTGTTCTGTTTGAGACTGGGACCCCAGTGTCCTGGACAATGCCTGCACCAAGTCCGTGCTCCGATGTGTCGAATGGAGACTGACCAACGAGCCCCTCTACGCCCTGCACCTGACCGCTCAGCCTGAAGTGGCCCAGGTTGGCCAGCTCTAATCTCAGAAGCCTCAGAGGGAATGGAGGTCTTGGTCACCCACAGCTCTGGTCACAGAGCAGCCTGAGGCCTAAGCATAGCCCTGGGCCAAGCAAGTATACAGCAACAGCAGCTTTTGCTTAGGTTCAAAGGCTGCCACGGGGGCTTGGAGTCACTCTGCTGGTAGAGTCCTTGGCCAGTTTGTGGGAAACCCTGTGTAAACCACCTATAATTCCAGCACTCAAGAGGTGACTGCAGGAAGGCAAATTCAAGGTCGTCCTCAGCTGTACAGTGAGTTCGAGGCCACTCTGGGCTACGCAGACAAAATCCTGAAAAACAAAAATAGGCTGGAGAGATGGCTCAGCAGTTAAAAGCACTGGCTGCTCTTGCAGATGTCTGGAGCCCGATTCCCAGCAACCACATGGTGGCTCGCAACCACCTATGATGAGATCTGGTGCCCTCACCTGGTGTGCAGTCAGTCAAACATGCAGACAGAACACTGCATACTTTATAAATAAATAAATCTTTAAAAAAATCAAAAACAGAAAAGATTCTTATTAGAGGAACACCAGGGACGGAGGAGGGAGCAGGAAGGACAGCAGAGACAGTCATGTGATATTTTGGGGATTAGAAGCCATGACACCAGTTAGGGGCAACAGGTAGCTCTGCCCAGAAACCTGGGCCTCCCTGGGGACTCCTAGCTCCTTATCGTCCACACCTGGTGTCAACTTCCAGAAGCACTGTGACCCCTACACAGCCCTGGGGACACTGTGGAGACAGAGCAGGGAGGAGAGAGACGCAGGTCTGACGACTGAGATGAGGACAAGCCGGGGTCATGCAGGGAGGACCTGCAGAGCGGTACAGACAGGAGGAGGGGGGCAGCTCCAATGCTCTCTGTAGACTGCAAGGAAGAGAGAAAAACTGGGGCAGAGGGTTCAAGGAAGAAAGGAAAGGCGGGGCGGGACAGACCGGTTACAGACAGGGCTGGGAGCAGAACTGTGACGGACAGGGAGTGGGGGAAAGCACAGGGGAGGGGGGCAATGATAGGTGAGGGGGGAGTTTTCCATGGTGGTTGGCTCAGTGGGCACACAGGCTCTCACGGGCCACCACCGTGACGATTCTCTATTCTGCCGAGGGCATGGGGAGCCATGGCGGCCTCTGTGCAGATGGAGCAGGGGAGGCATGAGGACCAAGCCCCACGTCCTTCTTACAGCCTCAGAGGGCAGTGGCATCCTCTTTGACAAGAGCAGGGGCAGGTCTGGGAAGAGACTAATGTCAGTTTGGGACAAGGCGATTGAGAGCCATCTGGGACCTTGGGGAAGCATTCTGGATAACAATTTGGGCCAGTTCCAGTACTCAGGCGACAGGGTAGAAGCGGGCCAGACAGAGAGAGTGGGTGAGATAAGGTCACAGTTGAAGTGGGGCAGGAGGCAGCTGCCCCGTCCCCACCCTCTCCCCTCCTCAGGCCTCCTTCCCCTCTGCACAGCCCCGCCTTGTTGAGGGCAATCCAGGACAAAGTAATACTCAGGAGGCAACAAGCACAAGAGAGCGGCAGGTACGGCTTCCACCTAAAATCAGGCTGGGGGCCTCAGAGTGTAGCGTGTTTGTAACATGTTTGTAACATGCTGTCCAAACCTGCGAGTCCTGAACATCCTCCCTCCACCTCCCTGCAAAGGGCAAACCCTCTTTCTGGCTTTGCTTTCCAGAGGAGTGAGAAGTTTTTTGGTTTTGTTTTTATTTGTCTGTTTGTCTTGATTTTTAGATAGGGTCTCACTATGTACCTTAGGCTGGCCTGGAACTCACAGTGATCCTCCTGCATCAGACTCTCAAGAACTGAGGTAACTGGAGTAGACCATCAAACTCTAAGCTTTTCTGTTGTTCTGAGACAGGGTCTCGAGTCGCTCAGGCCAGCCCAGAGCTCACTGGGCAGGTGAGGATGACCTCAAACTTCCGACTCTCCTGCCTCCGTCTCCTGAGCGCCAGGATGACAGGCAAGTGCAGCCACTCCTGGTGTAATCAGTGCTAGGATTGAACCCAAGACTTCATGCTTACAAACTGGGCCGAGTTCCCCAGCTGGTACTACATTTGTCTCACTGATCCTCGCCACGCCTGGGGATTTACCTAAACTAAACCTTTGTCCCTAGACTCTCCCAGCTGCTAGGAAAATGTGGGCACACAGTAGGCACTCATTCAGTGTTTGTGGAAGGGGGAAGCTCATGTTTTACGGAGTACTTACTGCATGTCAGGCATGACTCTAAGCGCCATATGTTTGCATGCTTGTGTTACAGGCCCACGTGGGGTCAGGACAGCTGCCCCTCATTATTTGGAGGGGATGCTGGCTCCAAAAGCTCCTAGAGACACTGGAACTCACAGCTGCTCCAGGCTTTCTTACAAATGGCAGAAAGTTTAAAACAGCGTCAGCCAGAAGTGCCTCTCGATGACTGTCATACAAATGAATGGATTGGAGCAATGGATCACTGGTTAGGAACACAGGTTGCTCTTCCAAAGGACCCAAGTTCAATTCCCAGCACCCACATGGCAGCTGACATGTCTGTAACTCCTGTCCCAGGGGATCTGCTGCCCTCTTCTGGCCTCCACAGGCACTGAACAGACATACATGCAGACAAAAGAGCTATCCGTGCACATAAAGGAAAGTTTTAATTTTTAAAAAAGAGAGAAGAACAGTAAAAGGTCTGAGGAGATGGCCCGGTGGTACGGACCCCTGCCACACAGCCTGATGAATGGTCTGAGCTCAGTTCCCAAAGCCCAGAGGATGGAAGGGGAGAACTGACTCCTGCAAGCTGAGCTCTGGCCTCGCACGCTGGCTGTGGCAGGAGCGTCTCAAGCCCTTCCCTCAGCAGTAAATAAATAGAATGTGATAAAGACAAGAAAATGAGCTGGGCGTGGTGGTGCACAACTCTAATCCCAGCACTTGGGAGGCAGAGACAGGAGGATGTCTGTGAATTCAAGGCCACCCTGGTCTACAGAATGAGTTCCAGGACAGC